ATATATATATATATATATATATATATATATATATATATATATATAACTGACGTGTTCTGAATGTTAAAAAGACTGTTCAATTGAATAAGGTTATTATTAATAGTGAGGAAAACATATGTCTCGTTGGTAGTGAAGGAATTAAGATCGTCAAGACCAAGAAACGCTTGGAATAAGTTATACACGTACCCTTCGACGTAAAATACAAACACGTAGAAGGCATTACAGAACGGACTGCTAATAGTCAACGTTACAGAATAATACACCCTCTCGGGCTTCCATTGGGGCCGTACCGTACACGAACACGCAGGAATAATGAAACATTTCCGTTTAACCGGCCTCTATCCAGGTGCTCTAATTCCCCGATATCCGATCGTCATTAAGACGCCATCTGGCTCCGCCGTGGTAACAAAGATAACCACGGCGAAGTCATTATCGTCGAAATGGGACGGCGGTAACGGAGCTCTCGACGGCGAATGCATTCCCGGGCTTGTCCCGGCCACGATCCACTCCAAGTGATCGTAACGCGACGGCTATGATCGGCCACCAATACCGACACACCCGGGGCCCCATTCAGCGCGACTAACACCGCGGATAATATATTTCCGCTTTATTCGCAATTACTCGGCCGTCGAATATACGTCGCGTCATCGAAAAATCCCATTCGATTTGTCATCCGAGGGAAACGGCAAGAGCCCGGCTATGGCGAAGCCATTATCGTCGTCGGGCGAAAGGGGCGCCCGAACGTCCTCGAGAACGCGCGCGCGGCTTCTCTCGGAACCCCGAAGGAGGCGTATTTGCACACGAGTCCTATCAATTTCTGCGGAATGCCCCTGGGGGGAGGGAGAGCCGCGGACGGCCGGTCGGTGTGACGAATGGATAATCGAAACGTCTCGCGTAACGGAAAGAGAGAGAGGAAGAGAGAGATTACTTCAAATATTCGTTCAGCTTCTCGCAGTCCCATCCTTGATCGCGCAGCGATCTGCTGGCGGGCTCCTCGGGGCCGTCCTGCCTGCGACGCTGCCTGCGCCTTCGCTCGTCGTCGTACTTCTCCTGAATGGCGGTGTTGCAAATGTGAATCGACTCGTGGTAGGTCGAGAAGGTGTACGGCTGCGAGCTGAAGCGTAGAAGCGCTTCTCTGGATAGGAAACGGGAGCCGCGATTATAAGCTCGAATCGTGGGAGTGAACTCGACTGTTCTCAGATGTTCTGAGCTCAATTCTCATCCGCGCAAAACGGAACTAATCTAATGTGACGTGACGTATATGTAATACAAATATTTATAATCACGTTCAAATGTATATATGCACTGTAAAAAATCTTGCGTACATAGTACGTAAACAAATGTTCCAAAAAATCCACTCTAAATTTTGTGTCGAAAATAGCTCATTCATATGTTCATTCGTGTTATTTATATTATGTATTAGTTTGTATATAATATAAATAACACACAAATAAACATATAAACGAGTTATTTTCGACAAAAAATTTAGAGTGGACTTTTTGGGACATATGTTTACGTACTATGTACGCAAGATTTTTTACAGTGTGTATATTTTTTTTATTCAGTATCGCCTGCCGCGCGTTGTTCAAGTTGGCTAGATTGACGACTTGAATAAACCTGTTAAAAATTTTTCCGGTGATTTCAACAAGATTTGCGATTCGCAAATAACGTGAAAAAGGGCGAATAGAAATTTTAATTTTACATTAACTTCTATTAAATTTGGAGGACACTGTACAGGTTATTCTGTTCTATCTTGGTATAATAAAGAGTTATTTGATCCCATTTTCTTCGTGTTGAATATCCTTGAGAAAGCACTTCGGTACGTTTGCTCTGCGAAAATACCAAATCGGCAAAAAGAGCTACAATAATATTCTCTCCCATTTGTCGCTGGTTGCCGAGTAATCAACAATTCGCCGGCTAAGATTCAATTGGAGAGTCACGTATTAATTAACGCGATGTCGCCCCGAGTCTGATTAAATATTTCAGGAGACGACGAAATATTGAACGGTTCTAGGGCGCATGAGGAGATTAATCCTACAACCGAAAGCTTGATAAAACAACTACCTCTTTGTTTTAATACTTACAAAATAACTAATGCAATACATATTAAAATACTGATGAAATAACTATCTCTTTATTTTAAGAGAACTTCTACCTTGCTACATGATCGTTCGCGACAATTTCTTCTTGTTATTTACTTTCTTATTCAAGGAAAGCGCGCGAGAATATTAAAATAATCAACGAAATGTGTAAACTCCTCCCTATTGTCAACAGTCGTCGCTCGTTAATAAGCAGCAGGCGTCACATAGTCAAAACATTCGCGACTTTCAAAACGATCAAATTTGTCTCTGCGCTTAACGAATCTTTTCAGATGTTTCCATTCAGTTTTTAGTCGGCGAGTGACATAACTTATGCGTGTTGTGTTATTTATTATTTTCCTCGAGTGATTACATTATTTTGTCGACCCTTTTGAAATATTTCCGTCTCTGTGTCGGCATTACGTTATTTAACACGTCTATCTTCAAACGAATCGTCTTCATGTGAATGTCAATATCAATATCAGTGCCACGACGGAGCAATCAGAACGACAGCTGGCTGTCAAGAAGCCAAGATGCGAGCAGCGATGCGTCGTATACTTTCAAGGTATGGCAAATCGTTTATTATACACGGAAAAGATATTGCAATAAAAGTAACGTTAAAATTATATTTCTTTTTACAATGTTTCTTACTTCAAGCTGAACTATTTGGAAATTGTAGTATATATAAATCACTATAGAAATAGAGAAATATTAAATCACTATAGAAATTTGATCATCTATTTTGGTACACGATACAAAAGACATTCAAGTAGCTACAATAATTTTGTAGCAAAAAATCCAAAGTGCATAACATTTTTAGACAACTATATAATAATTTCGATCATAATTCTGTATAGTTCAAGATTACATAAATTTTGTTGTAATTTTTACTATATATTTCCGTGTATAGAAGGTTTTTATAAATGACGAATTTACCGGGAATAAAGGGATATCTCTCCCCTCGAGTTGAAATTTAGGTCAGCATTTATAATTCGTCATTATTTGATCAAATAATTAGGTATCGTTTCGTGAATCTCCGATTATTCGTCCTGCATCTATACTTATTACGTTATTTCATACAAAAGATATTGATCCAAACACTTGAATAACAGTCCACGTATACGGATTTATAATTAACCTGTCATCAGAAAAGTGGGGTCTGAGAGATCCCACGCATTCCATTTCGTTCTCTTTAAATCTTTGTAATATCTTCAGAACCTTTTTCTGTTATTAAATCTTAACATTCTATAAAATCATGAGAGATATAAGATTTAAGAAATTATAAAAAATATAAAAAAAAATAAATAATAATATCAAAAAGAGGAAGAACCAAATTCATCAAATTCTATCCTTCAAATGACAAGTTAATTATAATTTTTCAATCGAAAATCCTACAAAAAAATAACCCGAAAGCCAGTATTATGAATATACTGACTTTAGAATTTAATATAAATCTTAAAAATACTGATTATTGTGTCTAATAATGTTCTTTGGGCCACCAGTTCAATCTTGTTTACGTTTGCCAACACTTTCTTTGCACTTCTGCTTAGCCTTGTTATTGCGCAGAATCTAAATTTAAATCTCTATTACCAAACATAGCATTACTAGACACACAACCGTTATCGTTGCCTTTACAGCTTCTTTCTTATCAGTTTTTTCAAATTTTCAAATCTTCAAATCTCACTTAGACTTCCAACGCCAAAAAAACAAAGAAATATTATAAAAATAAAAATGTATTGTTCCTTTTATCTATGTTCTCCGTCAATCTTTATTGTATTATTTAATCTCTGCTCTTATGTCACATACTCTACGTGCAGCTAAATAAATTACACAATCCATATATTGGTGGTTAAAATTAAAAATGAAAATAAAGATTAAATACAGATAGGATTTCAATATAATGGAATATTAAATAATTTTAAAATGCGCGTCTCTCTCTATTTAAGACTCAACGTGAAAAAACGCCACTAATTTGTACTATCCAGATAGGATAATATCTTGCATAGTGTATATCTCAAGATTCTTCATTAATCCTTCAAATTTGATGGAACTTGCAGGGTTATGCAAAATTAAAACTTCGACTCGGGTTAAGTGCGACGCGAATTACCTGAAGATCCATATCGTCAGGGGGAAAGTGCTCGTTACCAAGAACCACAACCTTATGTCGAATTTGGTCTCTTTGACTAGCAGGGGGCATTCTGAAACATGAGTAGCTCGGCTACTGACAGGCTCAGCGGGCTCTTTTCGGCTCGGGATCTTTTTTGTTTCTCATAAAAATCATACCAACATATTTCTGCACGATGTAGTAATCCGTCGGCTTCTCCGCGACCCTATGCAGAATGTCCGTGAGATCGTGAGATATAACGATGCCGTTGCCGCAGCATAGGTCGCTGGGTTTCAGGATCCAAATGCCTCTCATGCCGCTCATCGCGTATTGTGGGTCGACCATCTTTAATTTCTCCAAAGTCGCAACGGCGTTCTCGAAGCATCTCTACGGCGAACAATATTGATATCGATTTATGCGGGAATATCAGGTTTCGTCGCGGCGACGTCGTCGTCGTCGTCGCGTCGGTGCTGGGTCGACTTTAATTCTGGAAAGTTCGAATAAATTCATCCGCCGGCGAATTGGATCCCGCCGGCGGTCGGAGCCACATTTCGACGGTCGGTAGAGCGAAATTAATTTAATGAAATCGCGAAACGTCTCGATTGAGGGTCGTGAGAGACAAAGAGACACAGAGAGAGAGAGAGAGAGAGAGAGAGAGGGAGAGAGAAAGAGAGAGAGAACCGGAGAAGAGGGAATTTCAAGAAACCACCCTCACAGTACGATCAACCCAGTCAGAAAAGGGTTCGTTTCGCGTGTGAAGTTTGCCGCCTGCTACGTGGACAACTCGGGATACGTGTCAATTGCACACTTCCTTTGGCCGAAGTGCTTCCGGCGGCAATCTAAATAGAGGCTGCGATAAGCACGTATTCGACGCGTCTGATTTACGTGCGACACGACAGCCCCTCGGGGTCGCCCATGTAACGAGCTAAGGCATCTTTCTCCTGACGTTTTTTCCTTGTCCTTTTTTGCTTTACGAGGCCTTAATTGATCAAACGTAACCTGACAGCTCCTAATGAAAATTTGCAATTACAAAAAGAGCGACGAGTAACTCCTCGCGCGCGAAGAGATATTCCTCGACGCACGAGGAAAGAAGAGACCTCCAACAGAGATCTGCCAGAACCAATAAATAAACATTAGTTAAGAATCTCATGCGTCTTTCCCTGTCTACCCGTGGAGTCTTATCGTGTCGTTATCGTAAGCCCTTTAATTTTGTTTCATCAGTTAAGGAGTTAATGTTATCACGCAGCAGCATCTCTGAAGCATGTTTAATGTAAGGATGTTTTCGTGCCCCCCTTGAATAATTAACACAGTTTGGTTTTGTTGCCTACGCTACCTCGTAATCGCTTCTATTATTAGCGCGAATCCGGGCAGCGCGAAATAAACACGCCACTCTAACCCAATCGATCGCGCAGCACAGATGCTTTCCTAACTTAAAGAAGAGCGTCCGCATTCTCTCCCGTGAAAACATGAATTTTACACTGAAAACAGCGTCACAGCTGCTCAAAGTAAGTAGAACGAGATATGCAAGTTCACCAAACACGCGGCCAGTCAATACGAGAGAAATCCTTACGACTCGCCCGGCTCGCTGTTAACCATCGACTGCTGATTTAACTGAAACCTCTCACGCGAAGCGGTGAAACTCTCTCTCTCTCTCTCTCCCTTTGCTATTTCGCAATGACAAAAAGTCCAAGGAACACAATACAGGCAACGCTACAAGGAATGCAACACAAGCAACGTTGCAAGAAACACAATACAGGCAACGTTATCAAACGCGAAATTATTCAACTACGTGAAATGAAATCGAGTCGAATCCTTTTTAGTGCGCTTGATGGGTCAATTAATTTAACGCCGAATATACATCGCACAGAGAGTGCGTATTTAAAATAATTCACGTGCAAATATATACAGTATTATTAATAATTCTTCGGGAGGGAAGAGTAGAAGGGTTTTCTCTCTCTCGCGCGCGCGCACACAATAAATACTAAATAAATTAATATATTAAACTACATAACATAGAAACTCGGGAATACATGAAAATATACATGAATTCTATTAGCATTATCGCGGATTGGAACAAACGCATAATTCTGCACCTGAACGTGCTCGGGTCCCTCCGACGAGCTCTCGAGGCCGGCTCCATGGTGAAGCGCCGCCGTGTAATCCTCCAGAAAAACGTGCCATTCCTCGTCGGTCGACCGTTTGTCAGCCACGAAGTCGATATCCCCGTGCGTCGCGACGGCGACGAAATCCTCGCAACAATCCACCGCGAAGTCCAGTCTGGCGACCGGAATCATCCGTCGCGTTGGATTGGCTGCGAGGATCGCCGGCTCCTCGGCAGCGCTCAGCTCGCGAACGAACCATTTGAGCAGGCCCGCGGCCGCGGTCAGCCGGAAGTCCTCCAGGAAAGCTCGCTGGTCCTCGGCGGGGTTGTAGCTACGCGGGAACAGGACGTCGGACACGTTCTCCTCGTATAGCCAATATGCATCCTCCAGTGAACGCGCCATTCCGAGCTGTACGCGATTCGGGAACGTTTTACTTATTGAGCGCGCTGCACGGGGATTACATTCCACCATGAGACCTTTATTGCGAGACCGGGATGGACAAGGATGTCGGAGTCGACTCGGAGGATCGCGATGGAGACTCGAGCGAAATTTTCAATGCAGTTCGATCGCCAGACCGAGTACATAATTGACGATTTTGGTACCAGCGTTGGGCATTAATTGATGACATTTTCTTGGATTGAAATAACCGGCAGAATCGGTAATCAGAATTAATCAATCGTTACATATAAAATCGCAGATAATTTCACCGATTGATGAAATTAATCAAACTTTAATGTGATTAATTATATATTGATTAATTAATACGTACGTTTGATTCGCCGTTGTTAAACCAATATTGAGCATTCATTGATTGAAATTTCATCTTCGACTGGAATAATTGGCAAATCAATCGTCAAAATTAAGCAATTGCGTCATATATAAAATTAGAAATAATTTCATCGATTATTAACGAGATTACTTGTTAATCAAGCTTTGATATCACTAATTAAACACTGATCAATAATTGACTTCGTTGGCCGATTAAATTATTCGTGATTGCATATATAACGCTAATGATGAGTTTTTATTATTATTAAATGCGATATCGATTAAACTTTATTAATCTGAGTCTATTGGGCCGATTATTTCAGTCAGAGAAAATTCTCTTTGCATTAATGTGCTCAACATTGTTAAGAAGGGTTCATACTTTGGCAGAGAAGCAGAAGCCAATCAGAACTTATGTTGGTAGAAAAGCAGCAGAAACTATCGACTACCACTTGATCACCACCGCGAGTTCTGAATGGTTCCTGCCTTTCCGTTTTCTGCTTTTCTGCCAAGGTGTGAATTTTCTCTTAGGCACGTGAAGTGGAGAACGTCTATCGTGCGCGATCAGCCGTTTCAACGCGACAGTGAGTAATCATTTGCAGCATCAAAGTGGAACAACAGCCCAATATAGTGTCACAACTCGAGACTCCCCACTGATCCTTCAAGTTCGACGGTATTCGCGAATATTAGTGCAAAATTAATGCAATAATTTCGATATTTGGGGTCCGGTCGATCGACGAAGTACCTTCGAGGTGTAATCGAAGGGGCGCTGGTATTTATTGAGCAGAACGAAGCTACCCAAGCCGTGCTGCCACTCGACAAAATCGTTCCTGCAATCCCATATGAAGTCGGGCTGCTTGTCCCGCAGAAGGGCGAAAATCACGGCCCTCTCGTTCAGCGTTCCGTCCGCTCGCGTGATATTGCTCAAGGAGCGAGTTTCTAAGTTAGTCGTGGCACCTAATCGCCGGAGCACATAGAAAATTGTAGACATTAGCGACGATATTTCATCTCTTCGCCCCATTCACCCCCACCAGGCCCTTGCACCAGTGGTGGTGGTGGCGGCGGTAATGTTCGAATGCAGCCGCGGCAACAAATTCTCTCTCTCTCTCTCTCTCTCTCTCTCTCTCTCTCTCTCTCCTCTCTCTTATACACATATATATGTGTATAAGAGAGAGCTCTCTCTCTCTCTCTCTCTCTCTCTCCTCTCTCTTATACACATATATATGTGTATAAGAGAGAGCTCTCTCTCTCTCTCTCTCTCTCTCTCCTCTCTCTTATACACATATATATGTGTATAAGAGAGAGCTCTCTCTCTCTCTCTCTCTCTCTCTCCTCTCTCTTATACACATATATATGTGTATAAGAGAGAGCTCTCTCTCTCTCTCTCTCTCTCTCTCCTCTCTCTTATACACATATATATGTGTATAAGAGAGAGCTCTCTCTCTCTCTCTCTCTCTCTCTCCTCTCTCTTATACACATATATATGTGTATAAGAGAGAGCTCTCTCTCTCTCTCTCTCTCTCTCTCCTCTCTCTTATACACATATATATGTGTATAAGAGAGAGCTCTCTCTCTCTCTCTCTCTCTCTCTCCTCTCTCTTATACACATATATATGTGTATAAGAGAGAGCTCTCTCTCTCTCTCTCTCTCTCTCTCCTCTCTCTTATACACATATATATGTGTATAAGAGAGAGCTCTCTCTCTCTCTCTCTCTCTCTCTCCTCTCTCTTATACACATATATATGTGTATAAGAGAGAGCTCTCTCTCTCTCTCTCTCTCTCTCTCCTCTCTCTTATACACATATATATGTGTATAAGAGAGAGCTCTCTCTCTCTCTCTCTCTCTCTCTCCTCTCTCTTATACACATATATATGTGTATAAGAGAGAGCTCTCTCTCTCTCTCTCTCTCTCTCTCCTCTCTCTTATACACATATATATGTGTATAAGAGAGAGCTCTCTCTCTCTCTCTCTCTCTCTCTCCTCTCTCTTATACACATATATATGTGTATAAGAGAGAGCTCTCTCTCTCTCTCTCTCTCTCTCTCCTCTCTCTTATACACATATATATGTGTATAAGAGAGAGCTCTCTCTCTCTCTCTCTCTCTCTCTCCTCTCTCTTATACACATATATATGTGTATAAGAGAGAGCTCTCTCTCTCTCTCTCTCTCTCTCTCCTCTCTCTTATACACATATATATGTGTATAAGAGAGAGCTCTCTCTCTCTCTCTCTCTCTCTCTCCTCTCTCTTATACACATATATATGTGTATAAGAGAGAGCTCTCTCTCTCTCTCTCTCTCTCTCTCCTCTCTCTTATACACATATATATGTGTATAAGAGAGAGCTCTCTCTCTCTCTCTCTCTCTCTCTCCTCTCTCTTATACACATATATATGTGTATAAGAGAGAGCTCTCTCTCTCTCTCTCTCTCTCTCTCCTCTCTCTTATACACATATATATGTGTATAAGAGAGAGCTCTCTCTCTCTCTCTCTCTCTCTCTCCTCTCTCTTATACACATATATATGTGTATAAGAGAGAGCTCTCTCTCTCTCTCTCTCTCTCTCTCCTCTCTCTTATACACATATATATGTGTATAAGAGAGAGCTCTCTCTCTCTCTCTCTCTCTCTCTCCTCTCTCTTATACACATATATATGTGTATAAGAGAGAGCTCTCTCTCTCTCTCTCTCTCTCTCTCCTCTCTCTTATACACATATATATGTGTATAAGAGAGAGCTCTCTCTCTCTCTCTCTCTCTCTCTCCTCTCTCTTATACACATATATATGTGTATAAGAGAGAGCTCTCTCTCTCTCTCTCTCTCTCTCTCCTCTCTCTTATACACATATATATGTGTATAAGAGAGAGCTCTCTCTCTCTCTCTCTCTCTCTCTCCTCTCTCTTATACACATATATATGTGTATAAGAGAGAGCTCTCTCTCTCTCTCTCTCTCTCTCTCCTCTCTCTTATACACATATATATGTGTATAAGAGAGAGCTCTCTCTCTCTCTCTCTCTCTCTCTCCTCTCTCTTATACACATATATATGTGTATAAGAGAGAGCTCTCTCTCTCTCTCTCTCTCTCTCTCCTCTCTCTTATACACATATATATGTGTATAAGAGAGAGCTCTCTCTCTCTCTCTCTCTCTCTCTCTCTCTGTCTGTCTGTCTGTCTCCGCTGGCGCATTAACTTTATCGTCCGCAAACAATCTAACCGTATGGCAGCATTCTCGTTTTAGTCGACTCATATTTCTGCACCCAGCCCCGCGCCTCAAGCGCCTCCTTCAGCCTTGGCAGCTCGCCCCGTATGAGAAATACCTTGTGCCTCTGCAAAGTCGATGCGTCGATGCGTTAATGGGGGCACGAGTGCAGCACTATTCCAAGTGATCACTCGCGCGGGAATTGTAGCGCAAAGAGGGCGCAAGATCGTCTGAGACACATCCGCCGCCAAGTTAACTAATCCCGCAGAAAGGGCAGAAAGAAATTACCTTGACGGCCTCCTCTACTTTCTCTTTGATTTTCCGATAAGCCGCCTTCCTCGCCCAGTCCTCCCGACAGCAGCCGCGCGACCTGGTCTCTTGGCCCGCCTGATCCGAGGGTTTCCGGGGACAGCAGGAGCACGCGTCCATGTGAGAATCGACAAACACGCCGCATTCGAATTCCGGCAAGCCGCTAACGATGCTGTCGTCGACGGCGTCTGGCTGCAGCCACTTCGGGCACATCCTCGCGAGGACGAATCGATGGTAAGGATTCACGGGGCTGTCTCTCCTCGCCGGCTCGTTCGAGGAAGGAAACAATTTCCAACTGGATTGAAACTTCTTATCCTCGTGGCACGTGGCCTCCATTGCGAGGGGCTGTTACCGCTGTTGGTTGCTTTGGCTCGCGACGTCGCTCTCTCTTTCTCTCTAATGTGGCCTTTCCCCAACAACGGACGATGTTGAATCACCGCGATTTGTCAACGTAACTCGTCATTTATAATTATCAGACGGCCGGCGCGGATGAATTAACGCGACGCGATCAGTTTTACTCAGCGCGCAGCCCCCTCACCGCAGTATAACGCGACTTTGAAATTAAACCGGAACTCCGGTGATATCTCAGTCACTCGATTAACGTTCTAATTGCGTTCATCCGACGCACACGCGGTCGCACAAGGGTGGCAGTGCTGGTGGCGCGCGCCTAATGCGCATCGTGCCGAAAACGCCTCGCTCATAATTGATCCAAGAGAGAAAGGGAGAAAGGGAAACAGATTCACCGCGTATCGCGTGCGCGCGAGCCAGTAACACGTTTAACGAACTATGCAAACAATTTTAGGACCCGTTGTATGTGTGTCCAGAACGCGGCGATGCGCACGACATTGTATTGGGGCTGTAGCCGATGTCTACCGGCTGAGTTTACACAGTTATGTGGAAAGTGTGGATTAGACGCAGCGATTAGAAGCGAGCAAATGTTGGCCAATGTTCTTAAAGCCGCGTGTTCAGCGGCCGAAGGGAGCGAGGCGTCGGCTCGAAACCTTTGGCTGTTACACGCGTGCGTGGATGCATATCATGCGTGATATATTTTCGCGCATATATTTTCCAATATAACCTTGTGCAATCACGAAGAACATACAAAATTTATTAGATGCCCGCAAAAGTTAGTTTTGTAAGCATATTTCTCTTATTAATAATAAACCAAGCAATAAAGTTAATCAAACATAAAGCTGTTACGGTTACTGCAGCCGTATTTTGTATAGTTAGAAAAGAAATTTATTCACGTTAAATAGATGTTGCATTAAAATTGTTGTTGTATGCCCATTTATACACTTCTCACAGCCACAGCAGTTTTGGAGATATGTAATGTGTTCGATTACTATATTTTCATGTTATTATTTTTATTATTAACATTGACTTTATTGCTAGCAAATAGCAAATATGTAGTTGTCTTAACCGAAAGAATATTGCTATCTCTCTGTATGATCTGCGGAATGAATACTGAGAAAAAAATTCGATTGTATTAACATGAAGTTTAGCCTTTATGAACGAACCAATGCATTTTCGTTTAAGGACATAGAATCTCTGTAACTCTTATGACTCAAATTTGGTTCTAAGAACCAGAAATTCTATTTCCTTCTATCAAAATGCGTTGGTTCATTTATTATAGTCACAAAATTCATGTTAATATAACCAAACTTTTCTCTCTGTCGAGAGATCCATAAAGTTTGATCGCACCTTTCAGCACTGTGACTCGTATTAGTAGTCGTTATTTCAAACTTGTCCTACGTGAAATACTCAGATCTGAATGTGGAGTTAGATGAGAGTTTTTTACTTGAATTATGTAATATATGTGACATTATATATTTACAATTATTATGAAAAATCTCACACTTAACTCTAAATTAAAGCCTGAGTGTTTCACCTGAGGCAAGTTTCAAATAACGACTATTATTGCGGACCTTAGAATATTTCGTTCAAACATATATGGGCAAACAACAAAGAAGAAACCAACTTCCACTATGGTTTCCACAACTTTTTTGTATGCATAGACGAAAAATAATATTACAATTTTGTTGCAACTATATTTAGCCAAGTTTTAGCCTATTCTTAGGCCTATAACTTATATAAACTCGTCTTAAGTGAGACTCAGACTTGAATTTCAGAGTCAGATATAAGTTTTTTAGTTAAACCACGATTGCACACAAATGTAATGTCATATATATTATATAATTCAAATAAAATACTCTCATCTAACTCTAAATTCAAATCTCTCAATTCTCACGTGAGACAAGTTTCAAATAAAGACTATTGATACAAACTTGACTATCTCGCATAAGGCGAGATTTCAAATGACGACTATTAATACGAGTCCTAATGCGTTCTCCGTAAAGTATTCGCTGTCGTTCTCTAATTTTGTACCTCCCTTCATGATTGATTCTACTGCGTTTACAAAAGCACAGATCATCTTTCGAGCCAATGAAATTACCAGCGATTTGACACTTTCGTGAGGCTCAAACGTATGCATAAATCACATCTTGAAGTTTGAACGATATTCGTACGCCATAAACGCTCGGCGCTCGGTACAAATGGGCCTCGCAATAAGAACGATGACAAGAGCGATCAGTATGACCGATGACGCGACAAAGGCAAGGTTGTCCCGAATGACATTGTCAAAGAGGAAAATCCGAACGCTCGGTGACGTACGCGCGACAGGACGAGAACGACCTGGCGCGCGTGCGCACATAACGGCGCGATAAATCCCTCGGAGCGAGCGATAAATCGTCCAGTTAAATCGCCGTCGTCGCGCTAATACAATTAAACGTTGAAATAACTGCTGCGAGCGTTTCGCCGTGAGCGTTCGTTCAGTTTATGAGCATTAATAATGAAGTCCGCGGAGTCACATTTCTCTATCCGCGCGGTGCGAGCGATCACAAATTTTCCCTCGCGAGAGTTTCCACATTCTCCCGCCACTCTTTTACTCGAGTCCAGTCTCCTGCGAAATTCCGCGGCAGTCATTCGCGAGTCTACCTCCCGCGGCGAAACGAACGGCCAAATTGCCGGCCTTAGCTCGACGCCCCGTAAACCACTGAATCTGTCACGACGGAAGTATCGGCTCGAGGTTAAGTCATCGACGTCTCCACGAACGACGAGCCATACCGGAGATTTTTACGACGGCTGTGACTTGAACCGCGGGGATTTAGCTCATAACTTCTGTGCGCCGGATTCTATGTGTGGATTCGGTGTGGATGGGTTTTTATCAGCTGGTCACGGAACTACAGGCATCCTTCCTCCTCTTTCTTGCTCGTACTCGCGTTGTCGTCGATGAGCGGCTAGATTCAAACTGCCAACTCCCCCTTCTCTCAACATTGTTGGACATTCCATCATTGGCTGCGTTCAGCAGATCAGTAGTGAGCACAATCAGTGATCATTAGTATATACTGTTAGATCCCTAAATCTAGACCAATCGCATTGATGAATTGCTCAATCGTTGCGCAACCGTCGCGTTCGCCAAACGCAGCCGTTAGTTCCTATCGTGAGCGCGTGTAAAGCCATTTTCGGAAACTTTTCTGCGCCACAGTTAGTTTAAACATCACATTACATAGTACAGGTTCATTACAAGCGCATTACAAGCAATGCGAACCTCTCTCAAGCCGGAGTGAAATTCAGTGTCTCCGCGATGGTGTTGTAAAAACTTGCAGGCGCGTTGAGTGCTTCGCGTACGTGTGTACATATATGGATTTTCTTTGAATGAATTACATTTACGCAGCTGCGCGCATTCACAAAAGCGCGACGTACGAAAGGACGCGTGTAACGACGAGTTATTTTCTCGTATCGTTGTAAACGAGATAAAATGTCCCTCGCGTGAACGTGAACGTCACAATAAGTATTTCCGAAAGTTTTACATGTACATATACACATACAAAGACATATACGCGCACGCAAGACTGGCAACTGTATAAAATGCTAAATGGGAAATTTTTATTGTGAACGGAAAAAATGAGGTCATTACGAAGTGAAAGCTAAAGGCGGCATTTATGATAAGGGCTCGCACATTTGGAATTTTTCAGCGGGCTTCCAATGAGCCCGTTCAGACTTATACGATTTATACGATTCCAGACTTTATTCGTTAGGAAATTATCGCCAAACTGGGTCGCGCGCTACATTATTTTTGACGCTTCGAAGGTGAGCCCGAGCACCGTCGACCCGGCACGTCGGAATAAAAATCAGAGAGTCTCTCGACGGAGCCACACGCCAGTGGGGAGCGGCGTCGAATTGCATCTCATAATCGAATCCGGGGACTCCTCTGGCGCGACGGCGTGTCCTAAACACGGAGCGCGCTCGCGCGAGAATTCGCGGAAATAAACGTTCAAAGCGCGTTTTGCCGCGCGTAGATTTATGACGCCGTTCCCCCGAACCGTATTTATTTTCGCCCGAGCCCATATACATATATCCACTGTGCGCCGCACATAAATTCCATATCTTGCTTCAATATTTTATCGTTGTCGGATTAAAACAGCGCGAGACCCAATATGAAACGTTTCCACGGGCGCGTGCCGGCACGAAATGCGTTACATCGGTCCGATGAAACGCGAAATAATAAAACAAATCCATTAAGCGCGACCCGTATTTCTAGCGAGGCTTATATCATCGAGAGAATATCCCCTAACAGGCCGGAAGTCGCGCCGGAGCCCAAATCCGCTCGTGACTGAACGGAAGGTCGCGTTCACGCGACCTGCCTTCCGTCGGCTTTACGGAGCAAAATCTTACTGCGGCGGAGCAATTACTCCATCGATAGCCCAGACTGTTATAACGAGCCGGGGGAGAAAGAGGGTGGAAAAGTCGGCGGCGGCGCGAACCCCACCCGGGATTTTCGCTCGTCACTTAGCCTTATTTTAACTAATACATCTTGCGAGCTTCTTCCGCCGCGCCGTTCCCTCTCCTGCGCGCGCGCGCGCGCGATATAATTAGAATAATGGAAGGTCTAATACAGAGGCCTCCGTATATGAATGGAGAGAGATGTAACTGCGGAAGGGAGATTTAAAAGCACTCTCGGTGCCTCCGGTGATTAGAGAGCGCGCCGGGCGCGGTTACTTAGCCAGTTAACTCGTTCGCTCGTTGCAGTCGCTGCCGTCGTCGCGGCAATCGACCTCTCGAACAAGCGCGACAAAATCAGCGAGACTACGAGCGCGATGTTTCAGGCATGTCGGGTGTCTCGTGGCATTCGTTGTAACGCCGCACAATGCGTAAACACACGTCGAAATAAAAGTCGATCGTTTCGGCGTAGCGACTCTGGATCCATTCTTCCGACGCGTTCAATCACAGTGTCGTCGTCGGCATCGCGACAAATTCGGTCGCGTTGAAGTGATCCTTCCGGTTGCAAAACGAGAGCCACATCTAATGTTTACTTATTGTTTAGCTAATTAATGATTTCCACGCATGAAGAGGTATTAACGCGGCCCTGTATAGCCCTAACGGCTATATCTAACGAGTAATTATTCACCGTTCCATTAGCGACGATAACGTCGTCGTCAGATAATGTACATAAGTCCGACGATCTAATGCGTCTAAGTTTTCAATTATCCACGCTACCTTATCACTCGGAAAAGGATGATAATGACTGTTGTCGCACGCGACAGCGGTGTCGATAATTAGTATAAACGAATTACGTAGTTAACTTACAATTTCGTTGCGCATGCACGACACTTCGTCGCCCGTGCGTGCGTGAGTGTTGTTTGTGTATGCTGTGTGTGTGTGTGTGTGTGTGCAATGTGTGTGTATGTGTGTGTGCGTATGTGTATGTGTCACGGGGAGCGAATGAGACGTGCCGTGCAAGCAAAGTAGCTGTAAATTACCAAAACACAACTTCGCGGTCTATGGACACCGCCGCGCGTTCATTAAGCTAAAGCGCGTTTTCTGACGAAAAACTTAATCTGGCCCGTAGTTGCGGGCCTTTGCGCAGTAACGGGCGGAGTAACGCAGGCATAACTCGCCCAATTACGTATGTTCGTAGCCCATCCGTATTAGCGACGTGATTCCACCGCGGTCTAACGTTATTACGTTGAAGCATCGTTGGCTGATTATAAACGATAATGAAAGCGCGCGCTGGCGCGGAAGACGCGCGAATAATACGGTGGAATAAATGTTTCAAAAAATATTCGAAAAATGCGCGGATGATGCGCAGGCAAGTCCGCAACTTCCTCTATCCATTATCCAGTGACACACGTTGACCGTTCCTCCCTCCTTTCCTCCCCGTCCCTCCTAGTCTCTTCCTGTCCTTTCCCGGCTCTCTCTTTCTCTCTCTCTCCCTCTCTCTCTCCCCTCTCTCTTTCTCTTGCAATCTCGTCGAGACGGACTCATAATACCCCATATTCACAAAGAGCAAGGCGAATAATCGACCTTCCGCACACGAGAAGTCACGTCGGCCGCATGGCACGAGTAGCAGCCGGGAATTTCCGGCCGTACCAGAGTCATGTTACACGAATGGGTGAGACGAGGGAGGTAACCGGGACGGTCGGTTGGTCGTTTGGTCGTTCGGCCGTCCGGCCGGCCGGTCGGTCGGTTGGCGCGCGCCGAATGCACGGAAAGGGCGAAGCTCTGTAACGGCCGCCCTTAGCCGCGATATGTCATTCGCGATGGAATAACGGCGTAATGACGCCCGCTCTCGCGTTACGTGCTGCTGGCAGCGTGGCTTACAACGAAACGTAATTTCGCGCGGCCGTGAGCGAGCGCGATCGATATAGGCGTCGCGGGCAGGCGTTCGCCGCAGTCCTCATCGCCGGCAATACGCCGTAATACGGCCAGCGCGGATTAAAACCGGTGTAATTTTCGCAATCCTCGGTGGTGGTCCACGCAGATGCGGGTGTAAAAACTGCTGGCTGAGCCAGCGAGCCCGGAACAATGATGACGGAAAGAGGCAGGATATTTACATTTAATTAATTCACATATGTTACGTATTTTTATTATTTCAGTATACCGTTAAATTATCACTTATATTTGCACGTGACCTGGTTGTGCTCACGCCGGGATGCTCATCGAGAGGTCATCGCGTGCCGACCGACAGAGTCGCACAGATGGATCTGTCCTCGGTACCGTAAAGTGCAAAACTTCCTTGTCTTTTCCCCGTGATTTCCCACTGCCTTAGTAGAAATTGAATCTCGTCGGTGTCTAGCTACGAGATAGTAAAGTGTCTAACATCCCTACCGCTCAGTAATGTAAGGTTCGCTTCTCCTATTAGCTAGATAAATAAGTTAGCTGATGATGAAACAAACGTAGTTATAAGATGAAAAATCGTAAGTAACTGCTAGCCAATAATGTAACGTTCAATTCTGCTTTTTTCAGATTTTTATTAAATTAACGTAACATCAATTTTTATTTGTTGCCTAAACTAATCTAACTTTAAAATGCTAATGGTGATGCACTAGCTAGATTATGTAATTTAGGATATACAGCGCCATTAACTCTATCTATCTATTGATATGTAATGGCTAGATAACGATTAGACCACAAGCTCGATCTATATTTCAGTAAATGATTAACTAATTAGTGTGTAGCGGGCTAGGAAATTTAATCTGGCCTGCACTAGGCTAGCTATTAGCTTTTGACAGAGGCCGGCTAGTTACCTGTCTGCTCGGATGTACACACCGCGGAGTCGCGATTTGAAGCGTGTCGCGCGTCTTTCACCGAGTCGAGTCTCACATTCCGGCGACGACGAGGTGAGAGATCCGGGCTTTCTTCGCGCGAAATTCGGCGAGAGTAGTTCGATAAGCGACCGAAAACTTGCGTTCGACTTCTTCGTCGAGTTCCGGCGCCTAACAAGGGAGAAATTGCGACGCTCGCGACAAAGCAGTGGCGGGATTGCCGGGGACGAGTTACCGAGTTGGCCGGATTGAATTCGCTCGAAGGAGGCGAGCTTGATCCCGGACCGCTGCAGCATGCGAATACCGGGAGAGCTGTCGGATATTCCGCGACTGTGTCGGAGTTAGAACCCCGTGGATGTGCCTGCGACGGAGCGAGCGCAGAATAAACAGGAAACAGGTACACCCGGCACGAGAAGGGGGGAGAGGGAGGATCGGATCCGAACGTTCGATGGGAGTCAGGCAGCGACGATGGTGCACGTTTCGTCGCGGCCGATACTCCCGGGAAAAGGCCACATACAATGGCGCCGACTTAATCGTAAATTAGGTCGGAAAGCCTCATCCAAGTCCGCCGGCCAGCTCCGGTCATAAATCAGGATCGAGCACTCGTGACCCACGGCTAAGTAGATTGTCGATCGACTTCCTCTCTGCTGCGACTTCCTCTCCGGTGCCTTCTACCATCGTGATGTTGCAAAGCGATTGGAGAAAATTTAGCGCTGCGTGTTAACGAGAAAGTCGCGGAATCGCACAATCGCGACTTTAGTCAGACCTGCTGCTTCCAGCAGTTGCTTGCTCGGCGGTCGGCGTGTCGTCGAAAATTCGTTGCCTCGCTGCTGGCGAACAAGAATACGAGTCGACTGTTGCTCGGCGCGAAGACGCAGACGAGCGGAGTGGAAGGGATTCGTCTTCACTTCCTTGCAATCGCAGTTGACGTTGTACCGAGTCCTCATAATGGAGTAGAGGCGAGATCAGGTGGCATTGTTTCGTAAGAGCTTTCGCTTGGCATTAAGAAGTATGAAAAAGAAGAACAACAATAGTGATCATCATCCACGCGCGCGCGCGCGCGCTACTCCATCGCGAACGAAGAGTTCCACGAGCGAGACTCGGCTTAATGAAACGTCAAAACGCATTGGCGTCATTATGCCGCCGTCGTGTTGTCCACGCGCTAATCGAACCGTCACCTGTTCCCGGCTGTTCGTAACGAAAAATGATGAAGATGCCGGAGGTGAGTTCGCGGAGACAAGCCGACGATATGCGCGCATAACAAACACACACATATACATACACGCGCACGCACGCGCAAATCTCCGTGGCGCGCGACGAAATGTAATTTTCGGCGGAACGAGCGGCGCGACAGCCGAGCGGTCGCCACTGATGGCGGTCGGCGGTTTAAGGCGAAACTTTATGGCATTACAATGCGGGGGTAATAGAATTATCGGATTATCCTATCCGTCTAGCTTGGCCTCGCTCCCGGTACAGAAGTCGACTAATCGCGACCGGATATCGCCAGGGCGCTCGCTGGCGAACGAGCGAACGCTCGTATTGCCGCCCCGTCGCCGCTCGTTTAACGGAGAAACTGGATAAGGGCAATTTGCAAGTCGGTTAATAGTCACGCGGTATAAGCCCGGATGGGCAGGATTTCTAATCCTATCGAGGGGCCAAAGACACCGTAATCGCGCCGGTAACGGCACGCGCCACTTCCGAGACTATCCGCCGCGCTATCCCCCTTTTCTCTATCTTTCTCTCTCTCTCTCCCCTCCCTTTCTCTTTCTCCCTCCCTCTCTCCTTTTCTCGTTAGTGCTAATTCGCGCGGTTTAATTGCCGAACGTCGTTCCAGCGACTTTCGTCGTCTGGCAAACGACGATCTGGTTAAAACAATCCGCCGCGAAGGACCGAGGGAAGCGCGTTATATGAAATTTTACTTCGCGCTTCTCTCTCTCTCTCTCTCTCTCTCTCTCGGCTGGTATATTGAGAATTGCAGGCTGAGAGAATTGTTAAGGCTCCTGGTCCTTCACCGCGGAGCTCTCGATTAATGACGTCGGAAGCGAAAAAACGCAAGACCAGAATTCTCGCGAAGTACGCTGAAACAAATGTGCCCGTGAAGTGATCCTTGGCATCGATTTTGAACGCATTTGTAAAATATTCCGGAAACTTTCCTTTTAATTAATGAACGTAAAATTAACGTGACATGTAGCCTTCTTGTTCCACTTTTTCCCATGATTTTGCCACGTTAGTTTTTCAACTATTAATTGTTAGAGAGAAAGAACAGTTTCCGGGATATTTTACAAATGTGTGCTCAGCAGGTCGCAAGTGTCATTTTGTGAACATGAGCGCTTATTTCGATATATTCAGCAAGAATTTTGGGCATACGTTTTCTCATTTCTAGCCACATTGATCGAGACAGCCATAGCGAGGACACAAGAATCTTAAAGAGCTTATTCATTAAGTATGTATTTTCAGTGGCGCATTAAGGGACGTATTTTCAGCGACTCATCAAGGGAGCTATTCATAAATTCACTATTTATCTAACAAACTTACCTCTTCGTATATTTATTTCACTATCTAAATAATAAATGTTGATTAAAACTAATATTATGAGACTACTTTGTCACATTTTACTCAGCAGAATGCTATTCAAAGCATAAAACAATTTTCTGACCTACATCGACCATTACACACGAACGGTGTAGTGAATACTATTCTTTCTTCCATATCGCGTTTCCTCTGTAACATTTATAACAGTTTTTCGGATGATATCATTTTTTACGAAATTACACTGGAATAATTGTCATTTATATTATTTTCACCATAAGATTATATGCACAAAGTAACGACATTCAATGTTAAGGAAATGCTCAATAATAAAGGTGATCAGATTTCCCAGCCCTGAATTCGAGATACTTCATAAATGTGTGAAGCGAGGGGAAGGGGTAAAAAGACCCGAAAATTACTTGACAATCATTGAAAATGATGACAAATCGGTGTCCCGAATAGCACTCGAAAAAATTCGAGACAAAGGATGAAAAACCGGGACTGTCCCGAAAAAATCAGGACGTCCGGTTACCTTATCAATAATGAACTCGAACAATGTCGATAACGCAGAGACGATCGTCACTAACACAATCATGTTATATTTTTCGTATTTCTTATATATACAAGACTTATATATATGTGACTTTGTTTTACTATATTCTGCAAAAAATCTAATCACGCATGTGTTGAAATTTTTCTGCAAACTTTTTTCAAATATATTCTTAAGTTATTGAATTCAGATGTGATATGGCAATGTTCTTCAAAATTTTTCTGTTTCGAACATCGAAGCATACTTTTGATATTTATAAGCTACGGATTAGGCAAATATTATCTTAACTGAGAGTTCGAAATTTTACATTAACATTTTTTTTGTTTTCATTATATATTGAGCAATGCTCCTATTTATTTTTACACGTATTTTTATTGCATAAAAGCATTTGTAATTTTGTATAACCAATACCAATACAAACATTTGTCATTTTGTACATCAATATGACGTAAACTTTGCAAAAAAATGTCAGTATTCTGTCAGTAAAGCTTTCAGCATCCCTTTAAAGAGTGCCGCTAAAAGTATCTCATTTTAATCCCTATTTTTCACAAAAACTAATCTCAGCGGGAAACGTACCGAAAGAAAAATTTTCAAAAGCAGACCATTATTAATCATAGGATTTATATGTTACGACTTGTAATTTTAGAGATACTATGTGGATCAAATATTCAACGTAGACTAGCAAAAAGTGCAATTATTGTAGCCGAAGATTGCTGCTGGCGAGGAAAAGATGCTTCTACAAAAGGATCGGGTGCTATAACGATTGGAGACTATAAAACGCCGTTGATAACGAAGATTAACTGCTAATAAAAGCGATAAGAAAGCAATTTGTTTAGTTACGGACATCAAAAACAGTCGTCTGAGAAATAGAAACAAAACAACGAAGGAAAACGTTCTAAAATCGAACATCGTATTGTGTTCATCGAACAACCGCGCGGTCACTACAATATTCAAACAAAGAACCTTTCTATGCATTGGCAATGAATTTGGAACAATTTTTCCAGAAAATATACAAGTTAACACTATGACATACATTTTGGAAATCTAAAAACATCAGCTTTAATTTGGTGTATCTCACAGCTTGAGATGTTTTTGTGAAAAATAAAGGTTTTCTGAAGCGACTCTCCTCCTCATGAACGGTGCAGACAAATCACATGAACTTGAACTACGAATATGTGTCTTACTGCAATCAACGTCACGTGAAATTTTTGTATATCTCTAAGTATTTTGATTTAAGTGAATAAACTCCTTGATAGCAATATAAAGCGTTCGATAGAAGAATACACCCATACTTGATACAAGCGATACGAGACATCCGACTTTCGCGTCCTCTTGTACAGTCCTCAAGATGTTAATTCACTTGACGTTTCCATAACTATTTCCATTTACATCTTCACTGAGGTAGTAACGTCGCGGCACTCGCATCTGTTAAAGCGTCAGCCACCTCGGCGAGTAATACGTATCTTCAATTTGGAACAACGTGCCGCGTCTACGTCGGTAATGAATTTCTCCAGTTCCGGATTTGCTTCGTGCAGTTATGACGAGTAACGCTGGAAGTAATACCCGGAAATAACCCAAATAAAGTTAAGAACTACCCGACAGCGTTTGGCGGACGACCTACATTTTACCTTCGAACTTCTCAGCGAAACATACATTTTGTTTCCTTAAACGGCATACTTTATGATGCTCAGCGCGCGCGCGATTTCTTTGCCGGTTCATACTCGGGGAAATAATACATGATCCGACCGGTTTAACCTCGGCGCGCTCACTCGCTCGCCCGTTCGCCTTCTTTCTCTCCGCGGGTATTTGCAACACTAATCCACGCCACGGAATATCTCGCCGCCGCCACGAGATGCGCGCCATAGCACAAGACGACGTAATACCGCGGGGGTAGATCGCGGTCTATATATCTCCCGTCGAGAAATCATTTTGTACCACTATAGCAATAACTCGCGCGTCGTAGAGCGACTTAGCAGCTGATCCTAGTAACTCCGGAGTGCCCGCCCCCTCGATGGATAATATCACGTCAGCTTTAGGGAGACGCGAAAATCCAATTCTCGCCTCTCCCTCCGCGCCCCCGCCCTCCGCTCTACTCACCACGCTTCTTCGTTCTCGCCGCGCGCACCGCGCCTCTCTTTTTCTCCGTCCTCCCGCTTTCATACGACACGGCCCTTCCTCCGGCCGCGAAAGATATTGAATCACCGTTCGGAAAGAATACGGAGTTCCTCTGTCTCGGGGGTTTCATAACTCCGGAATGCTTTCGCTGGAAATCGGAGACAAAACGCGGCGTGACCGGCGAACTCGAGGTGGTCGATGTCGACGCCCGACTTTCGGGCTTGAAAAGCTCCCTCCGCCCCCTCATACACGCTTTAACTCCGCGACACGCTCAGCGAAACCCTGGTCACGCGCCGATCTTACGGTGGACGTCCTTTCTTACCGTGCTGTGGCCGATCCGGAAAAAGAAACACACGAGAGAGCACTCCGTGGCACGATTGTGTCGTGAGAGACGATGAGGTTCCTAATTACGAGCTCCAACGACAATCTGCGCCGCCGACACTCCGCTGCAGTGGAGTAAAATGAATTTCGCACCAGAAAGAGAAATCGGGATCGTGTGTCGCGTTGCGAAACTCGTTCTTCTCGAATAAACCGACGACGATCGCAGTTTGACAATTTGTTCACTCTGTTAGCCCTGATTAGGGCTAAAAATGTGATCCGGATTTCCGAATGTCCAAATATGCAGTTTATCAAATTATCCGACAACTCAAATCTGGATATTTAAATCATCCAGATGATCCGAATAATTCGGATAGTCTAACTGGATATCCGGATAATCCGGATTTTAACATTAAAAGAACCAAATGTATCTACATTTGCATATTCATAAATTCACAAAAGAGCCACGATGTACAAATAGATTAAGTCAAAGTAAACGAAAAACTCCTCTTCCATTTTGCAAATCATGTAAAATTTTGATTTATTAATCCAAAAAGATTCGTGAATGATCATACATTATACGCGGTAGATGAGCTATAATGGCGACGTTTTCCGTGACGGACGTGTTAAGAGAAGAAGAGATTCTGGTTCTGATAATGGCATATTTGGAAATTCGTAAGAATCTTCTACATTTCGGCTATCTGAACCATCCTATAAGGTATATATTTTTTTTACGAAGCCAGTAAACGCAAACGTGTTGATCGAATTAACGTTGGAGTGATATCCCTCCGACGCGCAGCGTCTTTTCCCGCACAGGTGAAAGCGAAAATCGAAGTGGACTCAACGTTTTTCTGTGTATCTGTCAATGCTGCGTCGCTTTTGTGCAATCCGCGGCAAAGTCGCACATTACACGCAGTCCTCTTTGAGACTGTTCTTCCACATGAAACGTTCCACTTTGGCTTTCGCCTCGCTCTGCTCCGCTTCGCTTACGCGCGCTCGCGTATATAAACTCGAAACTGGTCGCTAAACTTCCCAACTGCCGCGCGCTGTTTGGTGAATAGTCATGAATTAAATATCACTCCGTATGTCTATCCGGGCGACCGCAATGCTACCCCAGAAATTATTTTAAAGTCAAATTCCAACCGGCAGTTCGTCGTAACCAAATAGAGGCTCGGTATCATTATGTTCGCCTGTCTCATGAATTTTGTACATTTCGCGATGGGAACGTTATCGACGATATAACGCACCGCGCGAGACGACGTACAATCGAGAGAAGAGCGTGATTCGGATTTTTATACCTATAAAATCTGCCAAGAGCGAATTCACTATCAGATACGCCCCCCGATAGGCGCGAATACGAGTGTCTTTCATATCTCCGGCTTTCTCAGAAGAGATATGACATTGAGACGATTATAAAATTTTTTTAAAGCGCTGATTCCAAATGTACTATCAAAATTTAAATTCGAATTAGCGACTGTGAAAAGCCTAAATATTACAAACAGAATGTAAAATATTTAAATTTAAGATAATAGATAGCGACTATACAAAACATTTCTCAATACATTTTCAACTTCAGATCAAAATCTGCTATTCCATGCTACTGATGGTTATCAATATAGTTATACAGTTATATAACTTTAATAGGCAACAGTCTTTACTTGACAACGAAACGTAATCCTCTCTTTTATAAATTCGCTGAACGAGATAGAGAAACGTTTAACATTGTCAGTATGCTAGCTGAAGATTGAATTTTTCGAAAAGTTGTCAGTATGCTAGCTAAAGATTGAATTTTTTGAAAAGTTTAGATAATCATATGTTATCAAAAAAATATGTACAAGGTATCCCTTTTCGAATTTATTGCGAATATCGCAAAACGGCATAGGACTTTTATGTTCACCTCAATCTATTCTACATTCTCAAGAACGTTGCAAAGATGAATCTGATACACTCTGTATAACCATCTCCTCTTTAAAACAAGCCAAGGTAGAAATTAATAGGACTATTTGTCTTAAAGTTGTGATTTTTTTCTTAAGTGAGACATATATAACCCACAGATACGAAAAAGTTAAAGAAAACTTTCCAATAAACTTATTTTGTAACTTCTTAACGATAATGTCACTAGCATAATGTATCATTGCGCAACTTTTATACTTGCGCAGCTTTTATAGCGCAACGCCTACGTAACGATAACGATATTGTCGTTAAAAGTTACAGAATAGGCCTACAAGACCGTATCAATGAAAGTCTTCTGGTCAACTGCGAGATGCTGATATCCATCTGTAAATTCGCTCCTCGGGTCTCTCTGATTCTCAAGTCGTTCTTTCGACGGCTTTATGTTGTATTTTATCCGAATATTCACAACTAAGCCTGTACGCTATTAGACTTTTCTGCTCGTATAATCCGATCTTAAGAGAAGAACGTCGCCGCGAGAAGAAATAATCCGCGCAACAGCGAATATTCACGATTCTCGTCCGCATTTATCTCCCCCTCTTTGTTCGCTCGTATATTACTCCTTAAAAATGTACTCAGTGAAAATCGCCGGCGACTCGGATTCCTCGGGGTAGGTATGCGTGGCTGTTTTGTCGAATTAAATTCCACTTGGGCGCTCCACCGGCACTTCTCGTACGCTCCATCTTCAAAACAAAAAAAGGAGAGAAAAAGAAGTGAGTGTGAGTGAAAGAGAGAGAGAGAGAAAGAGATGGGGGTGGGGGACGAAAGAGAGAAAGAGTAAGAAGAGAAGCGCCGTCTCCCGTTACGCGGAGGACGCGATGGTGTTCCGTTTCTTTTATTGCGGCGTTTAAAAGCCGGCACGAGAATCGCGCGAGATCCGGCTCCTTCTCACAGAGCGAAAAACGGTAAGGTTAATTATTTTCTCTGCCTATCCCGGAAGAATCGTCCCACCGTATCTCTTCGCCGCTTATCCGAGGGCTCCCTCTACGCGAGACGGCTAATTACGCAAGAAAAACTTACTCCGCTTTCCTCGTTTCCTCAGTCGCCACGCTTTCTACCTCCCTCGTTCTTGCCTCGCCTCGTCCCGTCTCGCCGTCGACGCGAGACCACCCTTTCGTCCGAAACACGCGAGCGGTATTTGTAATCATCCTATTTTGAGGATCCGGTCGCGAGACAAATAAGCGGGCTGTTATTCTTGCGATTGTACATTCCGCATACCGACGACGCCGAGAATCTCCGTGACTTGGCATCGCGAACGAGCGCGCGCGTTCCGGAGATAAACGGGGGTTTCGTTTTCACGAGGGGTAGCCGTAGCAGAGAGAGAGAGAGAGAGAGAGAGAGAGAGAGAGAGAGAGAGAGAGAGAGAGAGAGAGAGA